CCATTCTTTGTGTAGCTTGACTGCAGAGTACCTGAGTTGCATGCATTACTGTGTCTGTTAAACTTCTTGGAAGCAAGCCAGTATGTTATGGTGAGTTTCATATGTAAGTGGTGAGCCACTAAAAGCCTTGCACAGTATTATAACTATTCTGAGAAGAGAAAGCATTTGGAAATCCAGCAGTAAAGCAGCAGCAGCAACAAGCAGCCACAGTGGTAGTAAAGATAGGGCAGGTTCACAGTTAGCATATTTCATAGTGTGAGTCAGTGAGCACACAGCTTCCCTTACTGCTGCCCGAAGGAAGCAAACTAAAACTGTATATTGCAAGATTTTTCTAGTTTCATGTTTATGATGTCAAGTCATGTGATAATACTGTACCATAAGTTGCCAACTTCGCTTTACTCTAGAGAAGATCTTTTGCTGCAGTGCTTTTTTCTCTTTTTCTTTCTTTTCTTTTTCCTCAAAAGAAAAAACTTTGTGCAATGTATGTTTATGCCTACACCATGCCGAGGCAACACTTACCAGTAAATAATCTCTGTATCCCCGAGGTAAGATATTGTTTCTGCTTTCCCTGCACAGTGCTGCTGCAGCACGGAGCTGATCCAAACATTCGGAACACTGATGGGAAATCAGCTTTGGACCTGGCAGATCCTTCAGCAAAAGCTGTCCTTACAGGTAAGAAAACAGCTACCAGGTTATTTTATCTGTAGAACTACTACTAGCTTGATTTCATAAAATCTTCATGCATTGAATTTTTTTTTTAATTGATGAAGCTAAACAAATATTTACATCATTATCCATTACTTTATTATTGATTAGATATCTGTCTTATTAATTGTGTTGTCATGCATATAAGCAATAAACTTGTTCTACTTAGAATCATAGCATTAAATCACAATATTATTCACTTGTATTTTAGTCATTCATGGTTTATATCATAATTTTTTTATACCTCATCCTCTCAGTTGTTTCTTTTTAAGACCTTTGCTATTGAGCAGGCAAGGACATTTGTATAACTATAAAAGTAGTTTTGATTGGAAAGACAACCTGCTGCCTTATTACTTGGATCAATAGTAAATAAAATATGCTGCTGCTTCTCGCTTGCCATCCCTTTATATTTTTATCATATATTTTCACTTTTACCATGATAGCCAAGTTATTTTTTAACTGGGGCAATATATTTTATTTTGGGTAATGGAAGTAAAATATAGAAATTTATTAAAACAAATGCCAAGAACCAGCAAAGAGGAATGTTAAAATAGAAAGGATCTTTGATATCAACGTAGGAAATAACATTATAACTGATATAATTTTGAGCAACTATTGTTTCATTGATCTTCATTCTCAAAATGCTGCATTGAATCTATTTTTGTTTTTATTTTTAGTATCTGAGTCCTGCTGCCTTTGCCCTCTCTTACTTAACTGACCTTTGTAATTTGGAGCCTCTTTGTCACTGCAGTGCCAATGTTATTGTTTTAGGTTGAGTGAAAGTAAATGACTTTTAACTACCCTTTAAATTTGCCCTGTTTGAAGAAAATAAATCTTTTGTTCTCGTTTAAGTTTTAGAGTACATGCTGTGCATTTTAAACAAGATTCTGAGGTGAATGAAAACATTATATTGAGTAAGCTATGAAAATATATTGAGTTTTGCTTAATTACTGTGCACAGAAGGATAACTTCCCACTATACCAAAATTAACACACTCACTGCTAAATCAGAATAATATGATTTTTCTCAGTAAAAGGTTATATGCCTTGGTTGCCAAATCAAGATAACTCATACTAGAGGAATAAAACTGTTTAAGTCAGTGTAGATAGGAAAAATAATTAAATATATAGTCTTAAGTAATGAAATTAAAATATATAATCTGAGGCCTACATAGATTCTCTCTAGCCTTTCATTTTCTTCTAACAAAGCCATGGGCAACTATAGTAGCTGTAGAGTGGTCTCCAACCAAAGCAGAAATACAGTTCATAGAAACACAGGTACAGTATATCATAAATGCCGAGCAAAACTGTCTCTATATCTCAGTGTCCTCTTTCTGACCTTTTCCTCCTCTCCAATTCTCAAGGCCTGCCTGTCCATTTGTTAGATTCAGATAATATATCATTGCTTGTAGATCCATTTGTACTTTTTTAAAAGACAAAGTTTAAATATGTTAGTAATAATAAGAAGCTAACTACTGATTTGTAATGGATTTTAAGATTATATCAGGAAAGAGCTTTGACATAATCATTCATGGAAACTGAGTATTTCTGGAGGACAGATACCATGTTTATTAAAATTGATTGGAAAGCCATCTTTTGCTTAAATAGGAAGATATTAAATTCTTGATCATGATCTGATTTTTATGAATTATTTTGAAGAATTTCTACTTTTTTAAAAAAAAAAGATATACAGCTTTTCAGATATGATTTAAGAGAAACAAAGTCTAATAAGAGTATTGTTGGAAATGTTACCTAGTTCTACTCCTATGTTCATGTTATATAATTTAGTGAAGTAATAGTTAGGTGAACCATATTCTAAAATGTTTTCTGTCCACACAGATTCTATACTAAACAATTCTTTCCAGGGGCATTATGGTGGAAGTACTATTTTCAAACTGAATTTAGATTAAGCATAAGTTTTAAAAAGGAAGGTGGGCTGATGATGCAGCTCAGTGGTAGAGTACTTGCCTGACATGTGCAGCAAGATGCTGGGTCCCATCCCAGTACTGCACACAAAAAGAAAGTATGAAAGAGCTTTCTTTTCAAAGTAATGTCTTTGAGTTATTAGATATTATTCGAAGTAATTTTTTATTCCAGTTGCAATTGTGGTTTATTGCTGAACTTTTGAGAGGAAAGTTTTTAAGTGTTTTTCTCATTGGGAATTTACTTATTGAAAATTTCTTTCCAACATCCCATCATTTACTACTTGGGTACATTAGCCAAAACTGTGTACAAGGATATATATATTTTTCTTAAAGGAAATTAGCAAGGTGAAAATCTCCTTATAAAACATTTAAAAATACATGATTAATTAATGCTGTCTTATAAAATAAAAAATGCATGGAGTTGTATAAAACTTTGTAAGCAACAGTATGCGCTTCATTTTACAGAGAATAATTGTGTATCACTCATTTTTTTTTTTTTTAAAGACACATTTATTCAGTATCATGATCAGACTAACATTTAGCAATCAACAGCATGGGCGGGGGAAAAAAGTCTACATTAAAATCTTTGATAGAATACTTTACACTTTCCACAGAACAGAAACTAAGATGACCTGTTATACAATTTATCACAAATACAGTCAAGTTTTTTTGTCTATACATATGAGTACTGTCTAAATCATTTCTTCTTTGTTGCAGCTAGGCCCTGCTACCACTGTGCTTAGATAAGTTCACAAATCTGTAGCTGTAGCTTCCCTGTCACTTCTCTGGCTCTCCTGTCCTGCTGTTTCCTGGCAGTAGTAAAACCTTCTACCACTGTCATAGCTGCTGCTATTGCTGGAACCACCATAGCCACCTTGGTTTTGTGATTTAGCAAACTATTGGCCTCTAACACCAAGGAGTCCGGAGATTCTGCCTCCAGTTTCCACCCTTGGTGGGTCCAAAATTTGATAACTCATTGTTGTAATTGCCAAAATAATTAAATGAGCTTCCACCACCTCCAAAATTGGTTCCATCATTACCAAATCCATTGTAGCCATCCCCACTGCCACCAAAATCAACACAACCACTCAAGTTTTCTCTAAGACCAAAACTGTCATTTCTACATCTCTACAACCACCAAAGTTTCCAAGACTTGGACTTCTTTGGCTAAATTAAACACTAGCCATCTTTTGCTTTGACAGGGCTTTCATCACTTCAGTTGTGGCCATTCACAGTATGGTATTTCTGAACGACAATCTTATCCACAGTAATGGTCATCCAAAGGTACAAAAGCAAAGGCCCTCGTCTTTTCACTGTCTCAGTCGTGATTTCAATAACTTCAGTTTTCTCAAACTGTTCACAATAATCTCATGTGATGTTCTTCAGTGACTTCTTTAATGCCACCAACAAAGGTCTTTTACACAGTTAAGTATGCCCATGGTCTTTGAAAATCTTCTCTTGGGACAGCTCTCTTTGGTTCCACATCTCTTTCATGTATCTTGTGTGGTCCTGCACTCATGGCTGTGTCCACTTCCTCCACAGTGGCATAAGTGACAAACCCAAAGCTCCTGGAGCACTTGATGTTTGGGTCTCTCATTACCACACAGTCCGTGAGTGTTCCCGATTACTCGATAGCATCTCAGACTCTCATCAGTTGTTTCAAAGCTCAGCCCTTTGATGAATAGCTTCTGCAGATGTTCAGGTGCTCTGGGGACTCTGATTTAGAGATGATGGTAGTAGGAAGACTCTAACAATGCTTTCTTGGTGGCATCCAGTGACAAAAATGCAACCTCACCTTTTTCCACTATCTCACTGTTCATGAAGTGTAAGTCACATGCGCTTCATTTTGAAGTGGGAACAAAGCAAGTTCACAGTTTGCCCCATAGCTTTTACACTGGCTCTTTCCCCTATTCCAGTAATGCTCCTTCTAATCTTTCAGTCTTCTACTCAAGTATCTATTCCACTTTGACTAATTTTCTATACAGAACTTATTTCAGAAGGGTAGGCATGCATATGACCCTGTATATGTGAAGAAGCAACTTGTTTTTACATATTCTCAGCTATTCCTTTATGTCTATTCATTTCTGATTTTACCTACTAGTTTTGAATTTTTTTATATCTTTATACTGAGAGCAAGTAGACTAATTTAATCTGTACCAAATAATGCTAGAGAGTTTACCAGCAGTTCACAACATATAATTATGTTTCCAAGGAACTTCTTTCATCAGAATTTTACAGGACTTTAGAAACTTGCATTTCTAAAAGTGTTTAATTAAAAGTGTGATTTGGGGAAGCAATTTTAATTTTTCATTTTGTGTCTGATCACATGATACAATAAAATTAAATTAAGTCATTTAATTTACACAATCTTTACACAAATTACTGATACCTAAACACAATTTGACTTGGAAAATGAAATAAAATGAAATTATATGTATACAGTTGTATTCATAAGATAAGTGTGCTAAATAAAAAGCTGTATAATAACGAGAAACATTCAAGGGTCAAATCCAGATACAAAGGAAGACACTCCTCTGAATTCCCATGTTTCATTGAGCATCAAAAACCACCAATCTTTTAGTTCTTTTCTTGTACATTATTCTGTATCCACATTCTCTGCATCTGATTGGATCCCTGGATTTTATTTCATTTTCTGTGTGACATTCTCCACAGATATAGATCATTGGCTGCTGCTTTGGGGGTTGAACGTCCTTCTGAGTGTCCATTCCTACACACCACGCAGACTTTTCTCCGCGTTTCCAAACAGAACCGTGTATCACTCATTTTGTGTTGATGTGTTCAAAACACCTGACAAGAACAACTTACAGGAGGAAAAGTATATTTTGACTTAGTTTCAGAGATTTAATCCATGGTGGGCAGGGTTCATTGTACCTTTATTCTGAGGCAGAGCATTATGATGGAAGGGCATGGTAGGGGAGTTTACTATGCTCATGGGGGCCAGGAAGCAGAAGAAAGAGAGGTGAAGGGACTACAGAGAAGATGAACCCGTCCATGCATGCCCTCAGTTACCCACCTCTTTCAGTCATGCCCCACCTACCTACAGCAGCTTTATTCAAACTCAGATGGACTGATTAGGTTGCTTGCAGCTCTTATAATTCAGTTATTTTATCTCTGAATATTCTTGCAATAATACGGGAGCTTTTGGGGAACATCTCACATCTAAACCATAATAACTGAGACTGATTACATTCTTTGCTGAATTACTGTTTAAGTGGATGATATGTTTAGAAAAAATATTGAGATTTTTTGAGTTATGTTTTTGTTTCTGATGACTTTGATGTTCTAGGCAATCATTTAAAGGACTTGGAAATAAGCTTTTCAATTAAAGCAAGGATATGAAAAGTCTAAAATGGCCTACGTAAATTTTGTTGAAGAGGATGTTTGCTGTGTTATCATTATTAAATGTTATTAAAATGATTATTATAGATTTTTAAAAGCATATTTGGCCTTTTTCTGGTTATAAAAATACATTGAGAAATTGAGGGAAATAGAAAAAGTGTAAAAAGAAAAAGTTATTTAAGATTTATACCACTTAGAGATAACATTTTGGTATACTTTATTTTAAAATTTTTGTGTATATATGCTTCACACTTTTTTTTTCTTTAATCAGATCAGCCTTGTATGTTACATAGTACTAAATTAAGTGTACATACATGGATAGTCCCAGGAGACATTAAGTATTCTGCAACATCAGTTTATAATTACTTCATTACTTCTATGGATATATTTTTAGTTTTTTGAGTGAGTCCCCTTAAAACATTTTGATATGTTTTTATTCTTTGTGAATTTAGAGTTATTTTATGAATTTCTCCAAAATTGTGCTGCTATACCATGTTCAGTCTGATGGATATCTGTATTCTTGAATGTAAAATACATGAAGGTTTGGAGAATGAGGCACTTCCCTTTTAAGAGTGGTACTGCATATGCTATAATGAGAGCCACATTTAAGTTCAAGGTAATTGACAAAAGAGAGTGTTCCTTGAACAGGACTGGGAAGGAGGTTTGTTAACCATGAAAAAATAATCTTCTGGGGCACAGTAAATAGGATAGAGTGTAATAGTGGGAAGTTGAGTCAGCCAAGGAGGTGAGTGCAGATTAAGACTGAGTTTAGAGGAGGATAGCTGCCCAAAGGAATGTTTATCATTGGCAGGACTAACGATGATTGGGATAAACTGAGTTAGTTTAGATGGTCAAAAAGTTGGCAAGGTAATTGGTCCTAGTAGTTTCTAAGCGGATTGAGAGGAAAAGGAGTTGGGAAGAAAGATATATTTACACTCAGATGTCTCAACAATAAATAACTTTAACGTGGATTCTTTGCACTTCATAGGAAATCCTAATCTATGATTGCTAGGCAGACTTCCAGTCTCTGCAGAAGTAATCAGTGGTGACTCAAGTTTTCAAACAGAGTTGAGGAGTCTGCTGTGTGCCTGCAGAAGCTGGCTTGGTAAATCAACAAAATGTCTGGAGTCTCTTTTTTCTTCTCCCTACTCTACTGCTTTTCAGATAAAGCCAAAATCTTTAGAAGTTGGGACGTTAGTGATTTGTATCTTGCCTTTCTAGGTTTGACTATTAGGGTTTGCTCAAGTCACAATTAGCAGTCTTTTCTTTTCCTCAGACTGTATCCAGTGGATTGGTAATTAGGTCTTCTGTTCTTTTAGATTCCTGATGGAACCATTTCTCCCATACTCACTGTGTTGGCTTCATTATTTTTCTTTCATGACAGCAGTAGCTTCATGTTCAGTTTTCTTCACCATAGCTGGAATGGTTTTTCTAAAGCTTAAATCAGCTCTATGTTCAGTAAAATCCAAATTCTTTAACCATGACCTAGATGATCTGGCTCCTGTCTTGCATATCTCTGATCTTAAATTCTCTTTTGATCTCTACTTCAGCTACAGATGAATGCTTGCTGTCCCTCAAACAGAGGAAGCACATTTCTGTGGCTGGGCTAACATGATGTTTACTGAAGTGAACACTGCTCCAGAACTTCACATGGTTCATCAATTTAATCTCTGCTCCGATACTTTGTGACTCAAGAGATTAGTTTTTGTCCACACTCCCATTAGCTTTTGTTTTCTTGATAGATATATTGATAACAGAAATTGAATTTTTTTTTTGTTATTTGTTTGCCCAATAGAATCATATTTACAAGGGTTTGGACTTTTGTGTGTCTTTCTCCTTTCTTTGCCCCCAGGATTTAGAAAAATATGTAAAATGAAGTAAACAAATGTGTCTCAGGTCTGACTGGTAACTGAAAGTACCATATCTTCCAAGTTTTACAAATACTGATTAACTATTAATTATTTGACATCTTATGTCATATTACATTATTTATTACATTGTTTATTTTCTACTTTATAAAAATTTGGGTTGTTTTAAATACTGATTAACTGTTAATTTTTTGACATCTCATACCCCCTTCTTTATACATAATTTTCTGTTGTCAAAAATTTGTTTTGGATTACTTGTAATCGTATATCGTCTCTTAAACTATGGTGCATTTTTTTAAAGTTTTAATTAGTATAGTGGATGAGGTATGTACTTAGTTTTCTGTCAAAAGATTTTGTAGATGGCTCTGTGATTGAGAACATTCCAATTCTGGAAAGATCAAACTGCCTGCATCTGTCAAATCAAATTTCCAGATGTCCAACCAGGGCCTAATTTTTACACCTCTCTTTTGGTCATCGTTAATATGTTCTTAATATGCGGTTTTGTAAGCTAGCTGTGCTACATTGTGGCATATTGCATGTCACATGCATATTTTTCCTGTCAGGATACATGATTAAAAACAATTTCTCATATTGTTAATCTGAACTTTATGAATTATTCCTGAGTTATTATGAAGTCTCATAACATGTCTTCTAGAAAATAAAGAATAATAAATAATAATAATACAGAATAAAAGAGAATACCTTACCTTTTAAGATAAGCTGTGTTTATCCATCTGAGTTTAAGAGAAAGTTATTGTTATATTAAGGTGAATTCCTGACTTTTTAAAAAAGAATCATCTTTAGCACTGAAATAGTGACAGTTAAAACTAGTTATTGTTGAAAAAAACTGAATACTGCTTTAAAGGTATGCTGAAAATGTTAATCCTTAAGTTTTTAAGAAAATTTTATTATTCTGCTTGTAATTTTGGATATGAATAGGACAATAAATGTATATCAATAAGTAAATAAATATAACAAATAAATTTAATTATCATAAATAAATAAATTTGATAAATAAATAAGTTCATTTATCATAAATAAAATATAAATAAATATATATTAATCAATAAATAAAATATAAATATATATATCATAAATGTGGTTGAAACCTTAAAAATATAAAAACAATTTAGGAGTGGAATATGAAACTAGTACCTTTTCTTTTTCTTTTTCCTTTTTTTATAGACCAAAATTGATATAGGGCATATTGATTTAAATTTTTAAAGTATTTATTTGCACAAGGGACAAACAGGTCAAGGGTCTCTAAAGATAATCCCTCCTTCCTTCCCTCCCTTCCTTTGCAGGGATTGAACCCAGGGGCATTTAGCTACTGAGTCACATCCCCATCCCTTTTAAATTTTTTTCTTTGGAGACAGGGCCTTGCTAAGTTGCTGAGGCTAGCTTTGAACTTGAGATCCTCCTGCCTCAGCCTCCTGAATAGTTGGGATTATAGGAGTGTGCCACCATGCTCTGGTCAGTTTTTTCTTTCTAGTACCCATTTGTTGAGTAATTTGTGTCAAATTATTTTTTATATTGCTTACGGCAATCTAAATTTTAATAGCTTAAGAAAGCTGTACGTCAAACACAATAATAGTAACAAACCTTCTTGAACGCCTTTCTGAGCCAGACACTGTTGTTCTAAGGACATTGATTCTGAAGCTGTGAGGTAGGTGTTATCATTGTCCTCACATTTATAGATGAAGATACCAAGTTATACTAGTTTACAGATTCATAGGGGAAATTATTAAATTATAAACTTAAGCATTTTGGCTTATAGTCAGTGATCTTAGGTATACAGAATTAGGGAAAAAAAAAATATATATATATATATATATATACACACACAGAATTAGTTTTTTTTTCTTTCTTTCTAACCTGTTTATTCATTTGGAAGGATGTGGTCTGGCATAAAATGAAAATGAAATCAAACTGGTTTATAAACTCACAACTGGAATTCTTTAATATATAATGTTAAAATCTGTTAATATGTTTTTTTTTTGGTAAAGATTCTTTCAATAAAAGAAAAATTACCTAATAGTATATTATTGCATAATTTTAATAAAATTAATAAATTTGTTAACATTATAAAGCTTTATAAGTGCTCTTGTCTTTGTTCTCATGTCACTTGGCTTCATTTTGACATGTGAAAAAAAAATCTTTAAGATCTACAAGGAAAAGTATAGTATGTAAAATATTTGAGCTAGTCATAGTTAAGAGGCAGCTCAAGTAAATACGCCTAATATGAGTTAGTAATGTATATGTGTATATATGTGTGTGTCTATATAGCTTTATCTATATATATAATTTTCTGAATGTCTAATTTTTCTATTTCAATAACCCTAGCCCTCTAATACTTTAGGCTTTTATAAATCTTTTTGTGTAATTAAAGCCATCAAACTTAATCATTAAGCATGATCTTTCAACTCATCAAAAACGGCATATTTGTGAAGCATAGTAACTTGTTAGTGTATACCCTAAGAGCAGCTGTCATTTTCCTTAGTAAACTGTAGCAACTGTATAGCATTTTCATTGCAAT